TTATTAACTATAAATATGCACCAATATTTTTATTATTTTCAATTTAATAATTTTTTTTATTGTGAATTTGTTTTTTTTACGTCTGCTGTTTTGTATATTACTATTATTATTATTACGATATATTATTTTATACTTTCTATATGAATGACTTATAGATAAATATATATGTATGTTTTAGTAATATATTTTCCCAAATAACATAATGAATTTTAAAACATTGTTTTCCATATCGATGTTAATTTCAAATCCTTCACATTTGTTTTTTAACTACTTAATTGTCAAGAGAACCTGTTGAAATTTCATCAACCATTTTTTTGTCCAACTCCACCCCTTTCAGCTTCCTCTTACACATCAAACATCCTACCCAATGAAGGCCAAGTTGCTACAAATTGGCCAAGAATTCAACCAGAGGTAAAAATTAGGGGTAAAGAGCGTACCCGTTGAAGCTAACCACTTAGCAGGTTGGCGACAGTAGGCCTCACAAGGAAGCTCCATGTGATACGAGATGACCAGTGTCGCTGGATTTAGGGAGTCATACAATACTTTCGAAAGGAAACAAGCCTACTGCACGTCTCGTGGACAGACAGGAGACGGCTGAGTGAGTGCGCTCTCAGGGTCACAGAAACCTCTCGCTACATATCTCACTCAAAACAACAGGAAAGTAACATACGATAGGAATTAATTTTTCCACAACTGAAACAAAACGTGATAAAATTGAATTATCGAGAGCATCGTTTTGCTTGACAGGTGCATATAAACACCCTTTACTTAATATTGAAAATCCACAAGGAACATTTTTCATGCCAATGTTTTTAAAATCATCTCAAATTTTTGCTTGTAACCAGGTCTTAAACATACTGTATCTATTATTTTTGAAAGTACATGGGAACTTAGGAGGTCCCTAGATTATTTCTACAGGGGCAGCAAAAATGGGACCTGGTGATTTTTGACGTATATTCATTGTTGTCAAGGCAATATGATTATTATGTATTTAACTTTGAAAAAAGAAAATTAATCCAAGGCGGAGTTATACCACATAATTTCTTTGGAATTACATGCAATAAACATATTTTTATGCTTTACCTGTCTTTCTAAAAAAGGTAATATCACCCAAAAAAATTGAGAAATAGCTAAAAAAAAAAATTAAATGAACAACTTTAATAAATTAATGAAATGCACTAACCAAATGATATAGCTAATAATAAAAACAGGCCAGTTATAATTAAAGCTAACAACCTTTTAAATTAAATATGACACAAATGTCTTTAAGAATTTCTAGGTTTTTAATTTGAAAAGGAAGACATGTGCTACAAAATTTCAAATTTATGCCATTAATATAAATTTTATATCATGAAGAATAAAATATTACCTATTTCAATTAATGAAAAAGCTGATTTTTGTAATTTAATTATTATATAAGTTACTGCAAATTAACCAAAACTATCAATTTAATCTGTGCAATGCTATTCAGCAGACTACAGTAAAACCAAGCTTTACTAATTTTAGTTTAAATCAATTTTTTTTTTTAGTGAAAATGTATGAAATTTACGGAAAATTAACCAAATTCATAAAAAAAAAAACAAACCCATATTTGCAATTGATTTTACATTAGAAAGTCCAACAAACCCAAATCCAGGCACTCAAGTAACCTTTGACACCTCGATCACACTTCCCCAGCTGAGTCATCATACAAGTTTAACCTTTTTTGGTTTGTTTCATTTCATTTGTATGTGTTATGTTATGCTATTTAACGTTATGTTATTATAATATGTTAACAAGCACTTATATAGCGACTTTCTTTTCAGCTACGATGTGCTTCACCGGTTCGTCTTGAAAACATGTTTGGGGCAGAACCAGAAATAAACCAGCACAATAAAATGAAAATAAATTTCAGAAATTTAATATTTACACCCTCTCCTGATGAAGTCCACTCTGTGGGCGAAAGCTGGAGCCAATAAAGTTTATAGTTTGTCTTAAGAGTGCTTAGATTTGTAATTTATAATATTTTTATTGTGATTATATAATCTTGAAAAGCATTATGAAATATGTTTATATAGGTTTAGATATTATATATACTTTTGTAAAACTTTAATTTAAAATAAGGCCATTTCAAACAAGGCTTTTTAAAGTTGATATTTGTTATTCTTACTTTTAAAGTTTGCCTTGTTGCTAACAATAAGGTATTTATTTAAATGGCAAACATTCAGCACAAATAGTTATTTAATAGATTAAATTATTATATTAAGAAATTAATACAATTGTTTTTCAATATATTGTATTAGAATTATGTATTCCTGATATCATAATTAGAGAACTTTCTTTTCTATCACCGGTTCATCGCATAATATGGTGTTGCCGGAAGATAATACGTAGTGAATTTGAAAGACTGTCCAGATTATCGGCTTTCCTACATAGTGAATGGGTTTCATCTTCGCTAGATCAGCTGCATTCACAATAAAAACTATAAAAAAAATCAAAACCATTGGATGCTACCGAATATAAATGTGTACTGTATAATGTTAATTGTTTTTATAGCCTAAATTTATATATTAAATGTTGAATAAAATATATTAGTGGGTGATGAATAATTTATATTTTATCAAATGTTATTCTCATTTAATGAACTGTCCAAACTACGTATAAACATAATTATATCTATATCTTGTATTTTATAACTTACATTTATATATTAATTGTTGTTGAATAAAGAATTGATATATTTAATTGTAATTAATTATTTATATTATCAAATGTTAACTTTCCAAACTATAATATACAGAATTATTCTGCATCTTATCGGTGTTAAATTTGCTGTTTGTAAAACAAATTTTCAAGATTTAAATCCTGGATCCTGTATTTGTTAATGAAGCATCCCTGCAGATACTTACTTGATTGATTTTGGATCTCTTGGGAGACCAGTACAAATGTATTAAAAGAGATTTTTGAAACTTGAAAAAGATTTAATTCGATTTGAAGCTGCTGCAATATTCATAAGAAATAATCATTAATTAGTATCGATCACGGAAGTGAGTTTAATAATATTATTTTAATAAGCGATCATCAGCGACAAGAAACACTGGATTTCAAATAAATATGATTGACATTAATTACCAAATAATTCAAAAAATTTTATTATTATGAATGCATCTATTATGATAATCATATTCTATAGGGCATAATTAACACACAAATGTCATAATATTTAGCTGCCAGTCAACAATACAAAGTAAACAGAAGGAATATTAGGACCACAAAGATTGATCAAAATCCGGTAAAAAATTTATCATACAAATAATATTATTATATAATATTATTTTAATAAGCGATCATCGGCGACAAGAAACACTGGGTTTCAAATAAATATGATTGACATTAATTACCAAATAATTCAAAAAATGTTATTATTATGAATGCATCTATTATGATAATCATATTCTATAGGGCATAATTAACACACAAATGTCATAATATTTAGCTGCCAGGCAACAATACAAAGTAAACAGAAGGAATATTAGGACCACAAAGATTGATCAAAATCCGGTAAAAAATTTATCGTCCAAAATAGGTAGCCTGGGGTGATTGTTGTGATGATGTACGTGAGTTGGACAGTGTAAAAGCAAAGAATGCCATCTCTTAAGGCAGGCTGGTGAAGAAAAAATTGTTGTCAAGCTGTGTAGAAAATTTACCTGTCCTTTTTACTTCGACTGGAGAATAAAGCAATTGTTTTAATTCTTGTGTGTTGTGTCTCCGTTTTGTCTGAATTCCATCAAATTGAGTATTTTTCATTGAGTAAAGTTAGACGATGTTTCCGAGAATCGGAAGTTGTTTTGAAGGAATGTGAAAGAGTTCATGATGATGATTACAAAGATTTCTATTATTTATAGCTAGTCAGACATTCTATAAAATGTCCTTAAAGCAGTTTATATTACAAATTTGTCTACCCTCTAGCGTACTGTTTGTACACTTGTGAAAATGCTTATAATGTTGAATGACCCAAAAAACAAATCATTAAATAACAATTATTTGATTTAAATAGAAGTCATCACCAACATCATCACAATCTTCATCATTATCATCATCACCATCTCCATCCTATCAACATTATCATTAAAAATATATAATACATTTAGATAAAAATTTAGACAAAAAATATAATGAAGAAACAATTTAACAGTACAGTACAGTATATATGTATAGAATAGAACATATTATTTAAATGCTTTTATTAAGTATATAGATTATGGTAAAACATTTCTCACTGTGTTGAACATTTTTATAGCTTTAAATAGCAATAAGTCGCTCCTTCAATGAGATATCCCATAATAATATCTCTTTAAAAAGAAAGCTTTAAGTCCATAATTAAACAAAGTTTTATTTAATTCTACTGAAGAAAGCATCACTTGAAACTATAAAAGTTATGGAGTGGGTGGCATCAGGTTGTGCATGAAGTTGCTAATTGTTATTAGAAAATGTTCATTATTGGCGTTAACAAATCTTGATCACTTTCAACCTTGATCTTCCCACTGCCTGGGTAAATTAGACCTTTCACAGAATGCGCCAGTTTTTCCTGTGAAAATTGTCCTCTTTCCAAGGACAGTAAAACTGATTAAATATTGACAAATGTAAGCTGCTTCTTCTTTTTTTTTTTTTTGTAAGTGATAAACAAATTTATCAATAGCTTCTAATGATAGATACTACAATTTCCCCCAAATTAAATAATTTTGTTAATTGCATGATGGCCCATTGTTCCTATATATAATGCCTGGAAAATGTGGAAAAAGAACACATCAAATTTAATAATACTAGGGATTTCAGGGGTCAAAGCCCTTTTCTCTCAGATCCTTAGGCATAATACCTCCTTATTTTTTATTCAGCAACCCCAGCCAAATTTTACATCCGCTCCAGACAATCCAATAAGTGCATAAATGTTATCAAATAAATGTGTACAATTCAATTGACAGAAAACTGACCAATAAAATTACAACAATCATGTGACTTACATGAACGCCTTGTAATTTGAACCTATCTTCTGAACACGGATGTCATACTTAGAATCAATGAACGACTCGGTAGTAGCGTAGCAGTTTGTAATAGCAACAACACTGGCGATGTCTTGAAAATCACTATGGCCTTCGACTTTAACCTGTTCGTAAACAAATAAATATTTATAAATTTCTACATTGAATCAAACAATAAATAATAAAATAAAAGATCAATAATAATTATGATCAAAAATAAACTCTTACAGTCTAGATATCAAATAATAAAAACATAAAAACAATAAAAATCAAGCAGTTAAACAAAGCAGAAAAAAAAGAGAAGCGGGGAAGAAAAAAAAGAGGATCATCCGATATGCGACGCAATGTAACTAAGCGGAGGGGTTATAACATATAACATGCGATTTAAACGAGCGCAAAAATCAAATAACAATAAATCCGTGTTTCTATTAAATTCAAGTCATTCTATAATCAGTGAGACTTATTTTATAAGAATGATTGCATGTGTGCAAATCCCACAATGAAAATGGACAACAGTTGGATGAATTAAAATGTTTGCTTCAACAGAATGCTTTTATTATACAAGTATCAATCAGTCAATCGAAATAACTTCTATAGCAGCAAAATCCATCACATGAAGTATTGTTTCCAAAGAATAACAATAATATTTATCCTTTTTAAAATTAGTTCAAAACATGCTTGAATTAGGTTTCCTATGCTTTATCACCACAACTTTGTTTGTGTGTAGATAGTATCACAATACATTATTCACCTTACCTTGCCCATGCCATTATGAGCATGCCCAATCTTGACAACCACAGGAAACTTTGGTGAAGAAAGCTGAAATGAAAACAAAAAAATCTTAAATACAAAGAATGTAGCCAGCCACACTTATTGTAAATTAATTAAAATCTTTACACACAATAATCTTAGAATTATAGCACATTTCACAATTCAA